TCTTTCCCTTAAACTTTCATGGCTGAGCAGATTCTTTGGAGGAGGTTTTTGGGGGACGCTGAGTCCACCATCTCCCCAGATTGCCAGCATTCTGATTAAAAGCAACTTTCCTTTCTACCAACATTTGCCTCTCTCAAGTATTGCATTTTGAGGAAAAAGCAGCTGGACCTGATTTGGTAGCAGATGTAACCTCCATCCTTAGTGTAAGGGAGACATGCAAGAGAGGTGAGCACTATGGTGGGAATTGCTCCAGCTGATTTTTGGCACATGGGCCTGGAATTCCCAGATCTTCCGATTTTCTTTTTCAAGAGAAGCTGGGAACCTAGAATTTTTTCTAATCAGTTTTTTTAAGGTATAATTTACATACAATAAACTGCATATACACACACTAAGTATGCACAATTTAAGTATACAGTTCAACAAATGTATACACCCTAATAACCACCACCACAATCAAAATGTAGAATAATTCTATAACCCCCAAATGGAACTTAGAATTTTGATGTAAATATCTCCTAGATTTAAAATGGTGGTAACAAATTTAAAAATTTTAAATTCTATGCAAGCCAAAAAAATGCGAGCTCTTTTTGGACTCTGGCCTGCTAGTTGGGGCCTCTGTGGCCAAGGCAGGAGAAAGGGCCTTCAGTCTCTGGCCTGAGACCAGACCCACTTCTGTGACAAGTGCCAGGAGGAATCTTAGGGGCCATATCAGTCAAAGGCTCAGAAATACCATGGGGGCCCAGCAAGGGTCAGGCCACCTAGAAATATTTGCATTTGGAAATACTGAGTGCTCTGGATGATTTCAGGGGCACGAGCATATGCACTGGACTGGTGTGGACCATTCAGTTCAGGAAGACCTGCTGAGAGCCTCACTGGGTGGGCTCCGAGTGTCCTTACATGATCTGCTCTGTCTCAGACAACACAAAATCATCCGAGCTATTGAGCACTTACCATGTGCTGGGAGCACTTCTCAGGAAATTCCACAAATTAACTCCCCCAATCCTCCCGCTAGCTCTACGTGTAGATAATATTATTCTTCCCATTTTACAGATGAGGAAAGTGAGATGCAGATAAGTTAAGGATCTTGGCCAAGTGGTGAAGGTGGGGTTTAAACCCAGCAAGTCTGGTTCAAGTGTCCTGTACTGCAAAGAGGCAACCTTGGGATCCACCCACCTAGCTCCCAAGCAGACACTATTAATTGATAGTGGCACTCTCCCCCTGCAAGCATAGATTTATCTGACCTCAGTATCCAACTCAAGCCAACACTGTAATAGCCATGATCGATTGATCTAAATTGACACCTTAAATTTATTTTCCATGCCTTGTCTAGTATTTTCAGGTCCGGTCTGTTTAGATCACCTTGCCAGGGGCTGGGTCTGCCCCTTACCTGCACTATGGTGACCCATTAGAAAGGACTTGGTGACCTTGGGAAAGCCTCAGCATCCTTATGTCTAAAATGACAATAGTAATATGTACCCTCTAGTATTACTCTGAGACTAAGAAATAACCTAAGTTCTTCTATTTGAAGCACAAGGTAGGTGCTCAACAAATGTTTGTGGCCTGAACGATGATGATGATGATGCTAGTTTTTATGGTTATTCTTTTAGAACAAAGAGCGAGTGGAAGAGAAAGGAGCAAAACCAAAGCACACGCTGAGCACCAGAGGTGTGCAAGCTGAGCTCAAGGGGCCTTGGGAAGGTGAGTGGGGCCCCGTTGGCTTTATCCCACATGCACACCTAATTTCAGAATAAAAATACCACCGCCACCACCACCAATATGATTACTGAAAAAGTGCTGAAACTTATGCTTCTTCCTCTTTTTTGTTTTGCAGTTCTTTTTGTCCTTTATGCTTATTCCGTTCTGTATTGCTCTTTATTTCACTTTGCTTTAAATTTTTATGGATCGCTTTTTTTACGCACTTGGCCAACTTTAAAGTTTTTTAAGCTAATTTTCTTTTATAATCTTGCATAATATTTACATGGTTCCAAAGTCGAATTGACAAAACAAGGTATATTAAGAGAAGTCTAGCTTCTATGCATGTTCCCTGCATCCTATTTTCTCCCCTGCATATGTAACTATGTAAAAAAGTTTTTGTCTTATCTTTCCTTTGAGGTCCAGTCTCTTTAGACCACATTATAAGTGGTTATACACACACATATGTGTGCTCACATACACACAGCTTTCCTTCTTAGACAAACAGAAGCATACCACACACTTCTCCTTGCTTTTCTCCATCGTATATCCTGAGATCACTCCATAGCCGCATATGGAGATATTCGTTTCTCCTTTTTTATGCCTGGGCAGCCCTGGTTTAGTCAACCAACCCCCTCCTGATGGTCACTTGCGTTATTTCCAATCTGTCTATTATAAACATGGTGCACCGAATGGCCTTCTACATATTTTTCAGGATACCTTTGGGATAGGTTCTTCTAAATAGGAGAGCATTTTTATCCTGCTTATTTTCCTATAGAGAGCCAGAAGGTGGACCTGCCAGAGGGGACAGTGGAGAGGTTGCCCCCCATCAGTTCTTCGGGGATAGGAGCTGACCTCCTTACCCAGGCAGAGACCTCACCAGGGCAGGGAGACGGAGTTCCTGGCCCAGCCCAGGTACGCCCAGAGGTGGAAGCCAAAGCTCCTGTAGCATCCAGCGAGAACCCCAGGACGGGCCTGGAATTGTCTGTGGTGTCTGAAAGGGTCAGTGAGGCTCCCACCGGCCAGGAGGCTGCATCGGGTGCAGGACGAGGAACATCATCCAGTAGGCCTGACCCTCGGCCCTCGGAGGAGGGCATGAGGCTGACTCCAGCGCTGCCAGCCCAGGCCAAGTCAGCTCACGGTGGTGGAGAAACACCTCCAAGGTAAGGGATGTGCCTCCAAGCTGGGCAAGGGAAGGAATTAACTGCAGCTCCTGGGCTGGAGCCTGCTAAGGGGCCAGCTGCTCCTGTTTGAGTGTCCACTGTGTGTGCAGCTCTGGCTAGCCTCGAGACGAGAAGACAGGAGAAGGCTGAGGCCCTGCTTTCAGAAGCTTAGAGCATTGGTTCTTACCTGGCACCCATTAGAATTACTGGAAGGAATTTTTTTAGATACGAATGCCCAGAGGTTCTGATTTATTCAGTCTGGAGTGAGGCTCAAGCATCTTTTTTTGTTTATTTGTTTGTTTTTAAAGCTCCCCAGGTGAGTCCCACATGGAACAAGACTGAGAGCAATAGTAGTAGCTATAATAATACTTAAAAGTGTTCACTGAACACATCTTAGGTGCCAGTCGTTGGCTGAGCATTTCACAGACATCATCTTGTTTTATTCTCACAACCTCCCCAGGAGGCAAGTGTGGTTGGTGTCCCCAGTTTACTCATGATGAAACACGGTCAGGTTGCCCAGGGCCACACAGCTAGGGATTCATAGAGCTGGAATCTGAATCCAGGTGTTTGTTCGTTTATTATGGAAGTATAGTTGATCTACAATATTATATTAGTTTCAGATATACAGCATAGGGATCAGAAGTTTTATAGTTTACACTCCATTAAAAGTTATTATAAGATAATGACTATAATTCCCTGAGTTATACAATATATCCTTGTTGTTGATCTAGTTTATACATGGTAGGTGTACCCTAATGAGCAACTCCCCGCTTCACTCTCCCCACTGGTAACCAGTAGTTTGTTCTCTGTATCTATGAGTCTGTTTCTGTTTTGCTATATACCTTCATTTGTATTATTTTTTAGATTTCACATATAAGTGATATCATACAGTAATTCTTTCTCTGTCTGACTTATTTCACTAAGCATAATATGCTCTAGTTGTATCCATGTTGCTGCAAATGGCAGAATTTCATTCTTTTTTATGGCTGAATAATATTCCATTATCTGTATATACCATGTCTTCTTTATCCATTCATCTGTTGATGGACACTTGGGTTGCTTCCATATCTTGGCTATTGTAAATAGTGCTGCTATGAACATTGGGGCACATGTATCTTTTTAAATAAATGATTTTGTTTTTTTCTGGATATACACCCAAGATTGGAATTACTGAGTCATATGGTAGTTCTGTTTTTAGTTTTTTGAGGCACCTCAATACTGTTTTTCATAGTCACTGCACCAATTTACATTCCCACCAAGAGTGTACAAAGGTTCCTTTTTCTCCACATCCTTGCCAACATTTATTTGTAGTCTTTTTTTTTTTTTTTTTTGGCTGTGTTTGGTCTTCGTTGCTGCATGCAGGCTTTCTCTAGTTGTGGCAAGCGAGGGCTACTCTTTGTTGCAGTGTGCGGGCTTCTCATTGTGGTGGCTTCTCTTGTTGTGGAGCATGGGCGTTAGGCTTGCAGGCTTCAGTAGTTGCAGCATGGGGGCTCAATAGTTGTGGCATGCGGGCCCCAGAGCGTGTGGGCTTCAGTAGTTGCGGCTCATAGGCTCAGTAGTTGTGGCTCGTGGGCTCTAGAGTGCAGGCTTAGTAGCTGTGGTGCAGACTTAGTTGCTCCACAGCATGTGGGATCTTCCTGGACCAGGGATCGAACCCATGTCCCTGGCATTGGCAGGTGGATTCTTAACCACCGTGCCACTGGGGAAGTCCCTATTTGTAGTCTTTTGGATGATAGCTGTTCTGACAGGTGTGAGGTGATATCTCATTGTTGTTTTGATTTGCATTTCTCTAATAATTAGCAATGTTGAGCATCTTTTCATGTGCTTTTTGGCCATCTGTATGTCTTCTTTGGAGAAATGTCTATTCAGGTCTTCTGCCCATTTTTTCATTGGCTTGTTTGTTTTTTTCATATTGAACTATATGGGCTGTTTATATATTTTGGATATTAACCCCTTGTTGGTCATGTCATCTGCAAATATTTTCTCCTGTTCAGTAGGTTGTCTTTTTATTTTTTCAATGTCTTTTCATTTTTTCATTTTTCTTTTGCTGTGAAAAAGCTTTTAAGTTTAATTAGGTCCTGTTTGTTTGTTTGCTTTTATTTCTTTCGACTTAGGAGACAGATACAAAAAAACAGTTGCTATGATTTACATCATAGGCTGTTCTGACTGAACATTCTTTTCCAGGAGTTTTGTGGTTTGGGGTCTTATATTTAGGTCTTTAATCCATTTTGGGTTTTTTTTATTATATGGTGTAAGAAAGTAGTCCAGTTTGATTCTTTTGCATGTAACTGTTCAGTTTTCCCAACAGTGTTTATCAAAGAGGCTGTCTTTTCCCCGTTGTATATTCTTGCCTCCTTTGTCATAGATTAATTGACCATAGGTGTATACGTTTATTTCTGGACTCTCTGTTCTGTTCCATTGATCTATGTGTCTGTTTTCTGTGCCAGTACCATGATGTTTTGATTACTGTAGCTTTGTAATATAGCCTGAAGCCTGGGAGGGTGATACCTCCAGCTTTGTTCTTTTTTACCAAGATTGCTTTGGCACTTTGAGGTCTTTTGTGGTTCCATATGAACTTTAGGATTATTTGTTCTCATTCTGAAAAAATGTCATGGGTATTTTTATAAAGATTGCATTAAATCTGTAGATTGCTTTGGGTAGTATGGCCATTTTAACAATATTAATTCTTCCAATCCAAGAGCATGGGATATCTTTCCATTTCTTTGTATCATCTTCAATTTCCTTCATCAATGTTTTATAGTTTTCAGTATATAGGTCTTTCACCTCCTTTGTTAAATTCCTTCTTAGGCATTTCTAAAATGTGATTTTAAAAGGGATTGTTTTTTACTTTCTCTTTCTGATAGTTCAACATTAGTGTATAGAAAAGCAACAGATTTCTGTATACTAATCTAGTGTCTTGCAATTTCATTTAATTTATTAGTTTTTATAGTTTATTTGCTTTACAGTTTTATCTGTTTTATTGTTTGTTTATTTGTTTTATAGTTTTCAGGTGGAGACTTTAGGGTTTTCTATTTAAAATATCATGTCATCTGCAAATAGCAACAGTTTTACATCTTTCCTTCCAATCTGGATGCCTTTTATTTCTTTTTCTTGTCTGATTGCTGTGGCTAGGTCTGCCAATATTATGTTAAATACAAGTGGAAAGAATGGGATCCTTGTCTTGTTCCTGAATTTAGAGGAAAGGCTTTTAGCTTTTCACCATTGAGTGTGATGTTAGCTGTGAGTTTGTCATAAATGGCCTTTATTATGTTGAGATGTGTTCTCTCTATACCCACTTTGATGATAGTTTTTTATAATGAGTGGATGTTGAAGTTTGTCAAATGTTTTTTAGGCATCTATTGAGATGATCATGTGATTTTTATCCTTCCCTTTGTTAGTATGATGTATCACATTGATTGATTTGCAAATATTGAACCATCCTTGGGTCCCTGGAATAAATCACACTTGATCATGGTGTACGATCCTTTTTATATATTGTTGGATTTAGTTTGCTAATATTTTGTTGAGGATTTTTGCATCTATTTTCATCAAAGATACTGGCTTATAGTTTGCTTTTGTTGTAGTGTCTTTTTCTGATTTTTGGTATCAGGGTAATGGTGGCCTTATAGAATGCATTTGGGAGTGTTCCATCCTCTTCAAGTTTTTGGACTAGTTTGAAAAGGATAATCACTAGTTCTTTTTTATAGAACACAAAAGAGAATTACCCTGTGAAGCTGTCCAACCCTGGACTTTTGTTTGCTGGGAGTTTTTTTTTAAATTAAAAATTCAGTTTCATTACTAGCGATCAGTCTGTTCAAATTGTCTGTTCTTGATTCAGTCTTGGCAGGTTGTATGTTTCCAGAAATTTGTTCTAGGTTGTCCAATTTGTTCACGTATAGCTGTTCATAGTATTCTTTTATGATTTTTTGCAGTTCTGTGGTATTGTTTGTTATTTACCCTCTTTCATTTCTTTTCTTGTTTGTTTGTTTTAAATATTTATTTTATTTATTTATTTGGTTGCACTGGGTCTTAGTTGCAGCAGGCAGTCTTCTTAGCTGTGGCATGTGAACTCTTAGTTGTGGCATGTGGACTCTTATTTGCAGCATGCATGTGGGATCTAGTTCCCTGACCAGGGATCGAACCTGGGCCCCCTGCATTGGGAGCACGGAGTCTTAACCACTGTGCCACTAGGGAAGTCCTCTTGTTTGTTTTTAATTGAAGAATAGTCGATTTACAATGTTGTGTTACTTTCTGCTGTACAGCAAAGTGATTCAGTTATGCATACATATACAGCAAAGTGATTCAGTTATACATATATATACATTCTTTTTAAAAATATTCTTTTCCCCTATGGTTTGTCATAGGATAGTGAATATAGCTCTCTGTGCTCTACAGTAGGACCTTGTCCTCTTTCATTTCTTATTTTGTTTATTTGGGTCCTCTCTCCTTTCTTCTTGATTAGTGTGGTTAAAGGTTTATCAATTTTGTTTGTCTTTTCAAAAAACCAGCTCTTGGTTTCATTGATATTTTCTATTTTGTTTTGATCTCTATTGTATTTATTTCCTCTTTAATATTTATTTTTTCTTTCCTTCTGCTGACTTTGGGCCTTCTTTGTTCTTCTTTTTCTAATTCCTTTAGGTGGTAGTTTAGGTTGCTTGATGTTTTTCTTGTTTCTTGAGGAAAGCCTGTATTGCTATCAGCTTCCCTCTTAGAACTGCTTTTACTGCATCCCATAGGTTTTGGAGTGTTGTGTTTCCATTTTCATTTGTCTCAAGGTATTTTCTGATTTCCTCTTTGATTTCATAATTGACCCATTGGTTTTTTAGTAGCGTGTCATTTAGTCTCCACGTGTTTGTTCTTGTTCCATTTTTCTTTCTATAATTGATTTCTGATTTCATACCACTGTAGCTGGAAAAAATGCTTGATATAAGAATACACATTCAGGATTTCTCTGGTGGTGCAGTGGTTAAGAATCTGCCTGCCAATGCAGGGGACACAGGTTCGAGCCCTGGTCTGGGAAGATCCCACATGCCACTAAGCCCATGTGCCACAACTACTGAACTTGTGCTCTAGAGCCCGTGAGCCACAACTATTGAAACCCGTGTGCCTAGAACCTGTGCTCCACAACAAATGAAGCCACCGCAATAAGAGAAGCCACCACAGTGAGAAGCTTGTGTGCTGCAATGAAGAGTAGCACCCACTCACTGCAACTAGAGAAAGCCTGCACACAGCAACGAAGACCCAACACAGCCATAAATAAATAAATAAATAAATACACATTCTTTTCAAGTACACATGGAATGTTCTCCAGGATAGATCACATGCTAGGCCACAAAACAATTCTCAAAAAATTTAAGAGGCTGGATCTAGGTTTTTGGACTCCAGAATCTGTGCCCCTAACCACTGCACCATCCTGTTTTTTCAGGTCAGCATTTAGTTAAGTCCTAAAAACTATGATGGGGAGAGAATGATGGGTGTTCAGAGGTGGGAGGTTGGTATGGGCTGAATCAATCCAGGGGCTTTCAGAAAGATTATGCTTGGAGCTCTGGAAGTGGACTTGGAGCTCTCAGGACTCAGTCTCAGGACCTGCCCTCAGCAGACATGGTGCAGGAAAATGAAGAGCCAGAACTGCTGACTGTCAGGTCCTACCTAGCCCTGTGTTTTCCAGCAGTGTTCTCCAGGGGCAGGGCATCCTGGCCCCAGGCAGCCCACTGCAGGGCACTCTGCTTCCTGGGCCTTCCTCTAAGGGGACTTGTGCCCTTCTGCACCTGCCCTTGGCTGTCCTGATCTATAACTGAGTCCCCCAAGGCCTGGCTCAGGGAGAGGAGCTGGTGTCTGTGTATGCTGTGGTGGCTGGCAGGGAAGCCCAGTCCTTTTTCTGCCTTTGTTCTGGAAGGAAATATGAGTCCCCAGGAGACCTAAACAGCTGGAGGGAGGGACTCCTGGCAGGCATCCTTGGATCCTGGCCAAGGCTCTAAATGTGGAATCTAGGGTGGAGATGAACTTTCCATGAACTTGTTAGGGGCCCTAAAAGAATTCTGGGTGAGGGGGAAAGGTCTGTGTGTCAGTTTCAACCCTGAGTTGAATTTCAGACACCAGACTGGGCTCAGGAAGTGGGGCGATCACTGCCTACCCTCCCTCACCTAGCACTTGGGTATATCTTGAGAAAAATGGATTTGAACTCGAGCATTGGCTGTGATTGGCAGTGGCTGCCTGTGTAGAGGATCCTTGGGCCCTTGCTGGACTTAGTGGAACAGAGTGCTGCAATCAATTAGCAATGCCTGCCCTGGGCGTGCTGTGCAGGAAGTGGGGAAGCCTTAGACACTCAGAGTGGCATGGGAATGCATGGCAGTACCTTGGGGTCATCCCATGCCCCCAGGTATGAAGACCAAGAGGAACTCAATGGCTGTTGGCCTTCTTAGCTGGCTACCTGGCTACCTGGATATTCTTCCAGAAACTGGCTTCCTGCAGTTTCCCATGTCCCTTGGTTAAGGCAAGGGCTGAGCTGGGCTTGGATGCCACCCTTCCCATCCTACCCTGTCATCACCAACCCGTACTTGCTCCTGAGGGAGTGTCGGGGGACTTTTGCTGCCTCCCATCCAAGGCTTAGCTGTGAACAAGCAGCTGAACCAGGTGCATTCAGAAGTAGGCACTGGTCTCAGAGGACCTGCAGCAGCTCAGAGGAGGGGCCTGGGTCTCCAGCTGCTAGGGAAAGCCTTAATTTTTTAAAAAATGTGGTTAAAAACTCATAACATAAAATTTACCATCTTAACCATTTTCAAGTGTATAGTCTAGTTGTGTTAAATATATTCATATTTCTGTGACACAGATCTCCAGAACTTTTTTGTCTTGTAAATCTGAAATTCTGTTACCATCAAACACCTCCCCCGCAGATCATGGTAACCACCTTTCTACTTTCTGTCTCTATGAATTTGACTATTGTAAATGCTTCATATAATTCATTCATTCATATATGTGGAATCAGTCTTTCTGTCACTGGCTTATTTCACTTAGCATAAAGTCCTCAAGGTTCATCCAGGTCAGAACTTCCTTCCTTTTTAAGGATGAATAATATTCCATTGTATGTACATGCTACATTTTTTTATCCATTCATCCATCACTGGACACTTGGGTTGCTTCCACATTTGGCTGTTGTGAATAATGCTGCTGTGAACATGGCTGTGCAAATCTCTTTGAGATTCTGCTTTCAATTCTTTTGGATATATTTCCAGAAGTGAGATTGCTGGATCATATAGTAGTTCTATTTTTACATTTTTTAGGAACCGCCATACTGATTTCCACAGTAGCTGCACCATTTTAGGCTTCACTGTTTGAACCTTCTGCATATGTACTTTCATTTCTTAGTCGACTCTCAGTACATCTGTGAGGTGTTACTGTCCCCGTTTGACAGAAGAGGTTGCTGAGGCTAGACTTGCCCAAACCCAGCCCTGTTCAGCAACCTGTGGCAGAACTATGGCCAGGATGGAGGCCGTCTGGCTCCCTTCTGGCTCCCTTCTGAGACTCAGTCCACCCCAGACACTCACCCCCTCACCCCTGCCCCAACGCTCATAGACCTCAGCAGTGGGGTTGTGAAGGGCAGTCAGAGGGCAACTCTGAGAGGGAGGGTCTGAAGCTCCCAGGATCAGGGTCCTTCCCTCTGAATGTCAGGGCTTAGAAGGCCTTCCTGACCTCCAGCTGGCTTCCAAAACCACAAGGCTGCTTGGTCTGGGTAACGAAGGTGGATGCAGTGGGCCCAGTGGCATGGCCCAGTAACATGGCCCAGGGGTGCAGGGGGGCCTGTAGGGAGGCAGAGAGTTTCCTCAGCTGTGTAAGCACGCAGGCCCAGCACAGCCAGGACTGTTTTATTCAGGAGAAACAGAAAAGTCCAGACTCTTATGAGCAATTCCCTGATTTTACTAAAATATGTCTGACCTGAAGCTTCAGTGTGATGTTTGACTTGGTTCACCCTTCTCTTCATTTAATGGAAGGGAAACTGAGGCCCAAAGAAGGGAGGGAAGAGCCCAGGTCTCCTGCCTCCCGGCCACATTCCTCCTGGAGCAGAAGCACATACCCAAGGGGCCACAGAGACAGCTGGTGCCCACCTCCCCACTCCTCCCAAGGCCCATCCACCACAGGTTGCTTCAAATCTTTCCTGGATGCTGATCCAGTGGAATCCTGAGAGCTGGTGGCACCATATGTCACTGAAGCCAGTCTCTCCCCTGGTGTCTTGTCTGGGTAGAGAGGGACAGGGGGTGGAATCTGCTGGTTTCAACTGCAAGCTAACTCTTACTATTATAACAACCCAAAGGGCCCGTTTTAACAGATGAGAAAACTGAGGCTAAGAGGCCATGGTCAGTGAATGGCAGCATCAGGCATTTGAACCCAGGTCTGTTCTGACTCAGGTTCTTGCTTTTAACCTCAGGGCCACATTTCTCTCTGCCCCAGGATCTCCATCCATGTGCAGGAGACAGACATCCCTGGGGAGCTACTTGTGACACGAGGTGGTAGCCTCAGAACCACGCCCCCTGCAGAGGCTCTAGCAGCTGCCCATCCAGGTGAGCAGGACTCACCTGGGCCCAGGTGCTACCCCCAGGCCCCTGGGACTGAGTCAGGAAAACATATCCCAAAAGGAGCCGGGGTGTTTTCCCCACTGTGGAAGCGGAGCAGCGACTGCGGAGCAAAGGCCAAAGAGAAACAGGGATCTGGGCCTGAGCCCGCCATGGCACCAAGCAGGGCCTGGAGGGACAAGGGAGCCGATGCTAGGACCCCAGGCCTGCAGCAAGACACAGGCCCAGGAGCAGGGAACCCTGAGCCTGGAGAAGACTGCACAGCCAGGGGCACGAGCAGAGCCGAAGCAGGAAGGAGGACACCCCCGGGAGCTGAGGCGGGCAGCCTGTTTCTGGGTAAGTGAGGGCATTGCTATGTGCCCCGAGGTGAGTGAAAGGCCTACTCTGGGAGGCCTCCCTGAAGCTTCCAGGGAGAGAGAATGTGGGTGTTGGGGAGTCAAAGACTGGGAACAGCCTGCCAGCACATCCCAGGGCTGGAGACCAAGGCACGGAGATGCAGCAGGCTGAGCTCATGTTGGCTCTAGCCATTGGCGAGGAGGGAACCCATGGGGCTCAACTCGGATTTCTGAAAGCCATCTGCCTGCCCGATACTATTGGTATCATTCTGGATTGAGACAGGGAAGGCTCCTGCTAAAAAGCAAATCCATTAACTGGTATATATAACCCACTATCAGCCATTTGCACTCAGTGGGCTGACTCTCATCCAGGATCGGGAAGGGGCTGCTGACCTGCTTTCTGTCCCAATGGTGGTGGGAGGCGTCCTTGTGTTCCTGTGACCCAAAGGGCCTCCAGCCCTTAGGACCACACCCTCGTTGGTCTGAGCCCTCATCCCATATGGCTGCTGGAAGGCCACCATTTGCTGACTCCCTGTCCCAGAATTTCTGGAGGTCCCTGAGGAAGGGCTGAGCGTTCTGCAGGTCATCCTGGTGCCCCTTGCCAGTTCTGGGCTCCACGGTTGCCCTGTGCTGTGCTCTGACTTCTCTGGCTGCTTCCTCTCCCCTTGTATGACATGGTCCAGATGTGGACATAGGCCTCCCTTAATTCCTGAAACACAGCTGAGAGCAGGCTGTGACTTTAGAGTCTTTTCTGAGACTTGAGATGGTGATAAAGCCAATGTTAGCTGAGGACTCCCTGTGAGCCGAGCCTCGGGCATTTGTGGTGGCGTTTACCCTCACAGGCCTGTGGAGTGGAGACACGTGAAACACAGGAGAGGCTGAAAAGCACGTTTAAGGTCACAAGGTCAGTGCTGACAGAGCCAGGATCTGACGGTTGGGCTCCAGAACAGAAGGCAGTTACTTTGCAGCGAAGGAGACTTTAAACTGGAATTCTAGATGTGGATTCTCTGCGACACACCCAGGCTTTCCAGGGGCCCAGGAAACAACACAATCATGCAAATGTTACCCCCTTGTAGTCTAGGGCTTGGGCTCACCTTTGCAGACACAAAAAAGATACACAATATGCTCTCAAAGCAAATTCAGTCTTTTACTTTGGGGAGCAGAAAGTGGCTTGTGAGATAAACTAAGAGAAAATAGAAGTATTTCCCCTGCTCTGGGTCCAGGGTTGCGGAGGTCATGGAGTTGTTCCTGGAACACTCTGAGTGCTCCCTCGATAAGCCCCCAACAAACTGGCAGAAGCCGATTTTGAACCAAGTGGGTCTGGGACTGGGGGTGGGGGGAGCTGAGAGGTGGGGACGGCACAAAGGAGGCTCACAGGCTGCTGTCTCCCGAACAGACGACAGTCCAGCCCCGCCAGCCCCCTTCGAGCATCGAGTGGTGAGTGTCAGGGAGACCTCGACCTCAGCGGGCTACACAGTGTGCCAGCACGAAGTCCTGGGAGGGTAAGCTGGCCTTCTGCCTTGATGAGGGGCGGGGCAACTGGACAGCTGGGTGCCGCTGGTGGTTCTCAGGAACTGATTGATGGAGCCACCGCCGGGAGTGGGATGTCCCGCACAGCATGAGAGTGGGCGGAGGGCTCACAAAAGAGTGGGTGAGGAGAGATCCGTGGAGTGCAGGAGGGCCCGCATGGTGTGAGTGAGATGAAATGTAGGGTGCAGGAGGGCCCACAGTGTGGGCCTGGGACCCGTGTACTGGAGGTGGCACGGGAGCCGACATGGGGTGGGGTAAGAGGGATGTCCTCTAGGGTGCAGGACGGCCTGGGTGGTGTGGGTGGAGAGAACACCCCCTGGGGTACAGGGTGGCCTAGATGGTGTGGGTGATGGGGACACCGCCTGGGGTGCAGGATGGCCTGGGTTCTGTGGGTTGGGGGGACACCCTCTGGGGTGCAGGATGGCCTGGGCGCTGTGGGTGGGGGGGACACTGCCTGGGGCGCAGGATGGCCTGGGCTCTGTGGGTGGGGGGGACACTGCCTGGGGCGCAGGATGGCCTGGGCTCTGTGGGTTGGGGGGACACCCTCTGGGGTGCAGGATGGCCTGGGCTCTGTGGGTTGGGGGGACACCCTCTGGGGTGCAGGATGGCCTGGGCTCTGTGGGCTGGGGGGACACCCTCTGGGGTGCAGGATGGCCTGGGTTCTGTGGGTTGGGGGGACACCCTCTGGGGTGCAGGATGGCCCACACATATGGGGTGAAGAATCTCTTTTCCAGGTTCAGAGCCCGTGTGGTGTGCGGGTGGTGACTGATAACTCTGGGGTGCAGGGTAACCCCTGTGGTGTGTGTGGAGCAGAGGTAGGACCAGAAAGCCCAGGGTCCAGGATGGGGCTGGCCCACCACGTGCCGGGTGTGCTTCTCGGGCTCTGAGACTGCTCTGTCATCATATCTCTGCAGGGGCCGGTTTGGCCAGGTCCACAGATGCACGGAGAAGGCCACGGGCCTCTCGCTGGCGGCCAAGATCATCAAAGTGAAGAGTGCCAAGGACCGGGTGAGGTTTTTGCCCCAGGCCAGTGGGTGTCCCGGACCAAGCTCAGGATTCCTTCACTTCCCCCTGGGCCACCCTGGGCCCCACACTGCACCAGGCCCCTCCACTCTGAGCAGGAAACCTAGCCACCTTTCCTGCCTCTTTTCCATGACTTCCACACTCCAGTCAGCAGGTCACCTTGCGCCCTGGGCAACAGGTCCTCCTAGACCTCCAGGGTTCCTTTCTGGGCTTCAGGTTTCCTATCTGTGAAATGGGTGGGCCCTTGCTGCTCTAAGAAGCTGGTGTGGGTGGTGAGTTGAGGAAAGCTGGTGTGAGAACAGGAAATAAGGATGCAGGGTGGGGATGTGTGTGTCTTGGGAAGGGCAGCTGACTTCTCTTCCTGACCCATTTCTTGGAAACTCCTCTCCCCTTTGGCTCCACAAGGAGGATGTGAAGAACGAGATCAACATCATGAACCAGCTCAGCCATGTGAACCTGATCCAGCTCTACGATGCCTTTGAGAGCAAGAACAGCTTTACCCTTGTCATGGAGTAGTGAGCATGGGAGGCGGGGCGAGGGCTTGGGATGGAGCTGGGAGCTGAGATTCCAGCAAAACTCTCCCTTTCCTTCCCCTCTCAGTGACACCCAGGGAAAGGCATCACCTCCTCTGCCTGACCTCCAACATAGAGCACAAAGGACAAAGCCATTTGTCACAAACCAGCAGCCAGTGAACCTGATTTGACCTACAGATATTGTTTTGGCCTACACAATTTTTAGTAATTTTGATTTAGTTGTTAACTATATTTAGTTGTTAGTTGGAAATTGGGAAATTTCACATTAAAACCTAGATGTCTAGCTTTCCTTACAAATATAAAAGATCTAGTAATGCTGGATCTACATTTCCAGTTGGAAGTGGTGTGATGGAGCTCATAGTAACCGACCTTTGTAGACGGAGCAATCAAACTCCCATTTGCTACAGTCCCTATCACTTCCAGCTACCCATGACGTTGAGGCCAGGGGCTCAGGGGACATTTATTATTGTGCTTGTGTTGCTATTTTCCTTCTGGTAGGACTGAGTATAGTGAAATATTTGTCATGTCAGTTCTCTATAAAAGTGGAAAATGAAGTTAGACTAAGGGCTATGTGTTCTAAGAAAAGGTTTGTCTTACATCTGGTCTGATTTAGGCTTCTTGCCATGTTGGTACTAATTGGCCCCTGTAGGCCAATGAGTTTACAACCTTGGCCTAGAGTATCAAGAGTGAGTATCCAGAGTGAGCCTGGATGATCAACACTGCAGATAAGCCCCAGTCTCCCATTTGGCCCATCACTTCCTTTTTACCACCCATAGTCTGAGCTGGGAATGGACAAGAGCAAAGGTCCCCGTAAAACCCCAGATGGCAGTGGCATCCTTGGGCTCACCTGGTGATGATTGGACCAGTCTTCTGAGAACCTTGCTCAGTCAGTGCTTGCCTCTTCCTTTGCCCTGGCAGTGTGGATGGGGGTGAGCTCTTTGACCGGATCACAGAAGAGAAGTACCACCTGACTGAACTGGATGTGGTGTTGTTCACCAAGCAGATCTGCGAGGGTGTGCAATACCTCCATCAGCAGTACGTCCTGCACTTGGACCTCAAGGTCAGGCTCCACCCTGGGCATGTGGCGGTTGGGTGCCCCGGTTCCTGAGCCTCTGCTGCTCTCTCATCTTTGAGAGCTCTGTCAGCACCCAATCCTGGCTTCCATTCCTGGCTCTGCCATTGCCTACTTCTGGAGTCTAGGGCAGGCCAAGTCTCTGAGCCTCAGTTCCTCCATCTGTGACATGTGGAAAATAGGTACCTCATTAAGTGTTTTTTGACGATCAAATGATACAGTGACTTTTTTCTATAAAAAAATCTCTAAGATTAGTTTTTAAAAACTAAAATGGAAACATATGCGTGTGGCAACAAATATAGACAATATAAAAATGTATGAAATGCACAGTGAAAGTTCTTCCCACTCAGTCTCTGTGCTGAGAGGTCTTCTGTATTAGCAATTTGGCATGACAAACACACACACACAAAAGGGATCATACTATACATCTTGTTTTTAAACTTGCCCTTTTTAGTTAACAGTACACTGTAGACATCTTTTCTCATTCTCTTTAAGGGCCATGGTATTGTCCATTAAATGAATGCATTACAGCTTCTTTTGTCTACTTGACAAAAAGTAAGCATGTGGTAGCCATTCTTTTCTTTCTTTTTTGTACATGGGTTTATTTCTGGGATGTCTATTCTGTTCCATTGATCTACATGTCTGCCTTTTTATGCCTATATTATACTATTTTGATTAGTGTAGCTTAGTTACAGTTTGAGATCAGGAAGTGTGATGCTTCCAATTTTTTAGATTCTACTTATAACTGAGATCATACAGTAAGTGTCTTTCTCTGTCTGACTTATTTCACTTTGCATAATGCCATCAAGTTCCATCTTGTCATAAATGGCAGAATTTCCTTTCCTTTTCTTTTTCTTTTTCTTTTGACTGTGCTGTGTGGCATCTTCGTTCCCCAACCAGGGATCAAACCCGTGCCCCATGAAGTGGAAGTGTGGAGTCTTGATCACTGGACTGCCAGGGAAGCCCCACATTTGACTATTAAGCACTTGAAATATAACTAGTGTGAGCAAGGAACTGAATTTTAAATTTTATTAATTTAAATCTAAAAATTGACAAGATTAAATTATTGAAAAACATTAAGTATATTTGGAACAATTTCAATATGTTAATTTGCTTTTCAAAGGCTATCAATTTCATGAAATCTAAATACAAATAATTCATGAGATCTAAATACATCTAAAGTATTTCTGATGAAAATTTAGTGTCTGATTTGAGATGTGCTATAAATGTAAGATGCACACTGGACTTCAAAGGCAATATGATAAAAATAATGGAAAATGTTTCATCGATATTTTTTACTTTGATAACCTATTGAAATGGTAGTGTTTTTGATATATCAGGCCAGAGAAAATTATTATTAAAATTAAGTTTTAGAAAATACTTTGAGATGAATGAAAATGAGAACACAACATACCAAGACTTATGGGGGTGCATCTAAACTAGGAATGAAATTTGTAGCTGCAAACACTTATATATTAAAAAGAACATCTCAAACCAATAATCTAACATTCCATCTTAAGAAACTAGAAAAAGAAGAACAAGCTAAACTCAAAGCAAGCAGAGGATACAAATAAGAAAGGTTAGAGCAGAAATAATTGAAACAGAGAACAGAGAAACAGTAGAGAAAATCAATGAAACCAAAAGTTGGTTCTTCAAAAGGATCAATAAATTGACAAATCTTTAGCTATATTGAACTAGAGAGAAGACTCAAATTACCAAAATGAATGGAATGAAAGAGGTGACATCATTACCAGCCTTACAGAAATAAAAAAAGATTATAAGAGAATGTTATGAAAAATTGTATGCCAGTAAATTAGATAATGTAGGTAAAATGGATGAATTCCCCCAAAAGACACAAACTTCTGAAAACTCACTCAAAAGGAATAGAAAATCTGAATAGACTTATAACAAGTAAAACAATCAAATTGTTGTAAAAATCTACCCACAAAGAAAAGCCTAGGCCTATATGGCTTCACTGGTGAATTCTACCAAATGTTTAAAGAATTAATGCCAATCCTTCACAAACTGTTCCAAAAATTAGAAGAGAATAAAGCACTTCCTCACTCATTTTATGAGACCAGACTTCTCCTGATTCCAAAACCAGGCAGACATCACTTCTTGTGATGAAGCTACAGACGAATATCCCTTGTGAATATAGATGTAAAAATTCTCAATAAAAAATTAGTAAACTGAATACAGCAACATTTAAAAAGAATTATACAGGGCTTCCCTGGTGGCGCAGTGGTTGAGAGTCCGCCTGCCGATGCAGGGGACGGGGATTTGTGCCCCGGTCCGGGAAGACCCCACATGCCGCAGAGCGGCTGGGCCTGTGAGCCATGGCCGCTGGGCCTGCACATCCAGAGCCTGTGCTTCGCAACGGGAGAGGCCACAACAGTGAGAGGCCCGTGTACCGCAAAAAAAAAAAAAAAAAGGATTATACACATCACAAAGTGGGATTTGTCCCAAGAGTGCAAGGTTGGTTTAACATATGAAAAATCAATCAATGTAATATGCCATATTAAAAGAATAAAGGACAACATCACATGATCATTTTAGTAGCTAGAAAAATCACTTGACAAAATCAAACAACTTTTCATGATGAAAACACTAAACAAATTAGGTATAGAAGAGAACTCCTTAACCTGATAAAGGCCATCTATGAAAAACACACAGCTAATTTTAAACTTAATGATAAAATGTTGAATGTTTACGTTTTAACATCAGGAACGAGACACGGGTGTATATTCTTGCCATTTCTATTAAACATTGTACTTGTGGTTCTAACCAGGGCAATTAGGCAAGAGAATAAATAAAAGACATCCAGAATGGAGAGGAAGAAGTAAAGTTTTATTCACAGATGACATGATTTTGTATATAGAAAATCCTAAGGAGGGTGGAGGGAAACTATTAGAACTAATAAATGAGTTCAGCAATGTTGTAGGATGTAAGATGTAAAAATCAATTGTATTTCTATACATTAGCAGTTGACATTCTGTAAATAAAATTAAGAAAACTATTTCATTTACAGTAGCATCAGAAAGAATAAAATACTTAGAAATGAATTTGACCAAAGATGTATAAGCCTTATATTCTGAAAACTATGAAACATTGTTGAAAGAAATTAAAGATGGCATAAGTAAATGGAAAGACATCCCATATTCATAGATCAGAAAACTTAATATTGTTAAGATGGCGATACTCTCCAAAATGATCTGTATGTTCAGTGCAATCCTATCAAAATCACAGCTGGCTTCTTTGCAGAAATTAATGGTCTAATCCTAAAATTCAGATGGAAATTTATGGGACCCAGAATAGCAAAAACAATCTTGAAAAAGAAGGACAAATTTGGAGGACTCACATTTCCCAACTTCAAAACTTACTACTAAGCTACAGAAATCAAAACTGTGTTATGATGTAAGGACAGACAGACAGATCAATGGAATACAATTGAGAGTCCAGAATTAAACCCTTATATTTTTGGTCAATAGATTTTTGAAAAAAGTGCCATGACAATTCAATGGGAAAAGAATAATCTTTTCAACAAATGGTGCTGGGACACCATGCTTGATATCCACATGAAAGTTGAACCCCTACCTCATAATATATACAAATATTAACTCAAAATGGATATAGACCTAAATGTAAGAGCTAAAACTATAAAGTTCTTAGAAGAAAGCATAGGAGTATATTATATATGAATCAAAAGCTCAAGCTAGAAGAGCAAAGTTGATAAATTACACTTCATCAAAATTAGAAACCATTACGTTTCGAAGGACACCATAATGAAAATGAAATAACAGCCCACAGAATGGGAGAAAATATTTTCAAATCATATATCTGATAAAGGACTTGTATCTAGGATATATAAAGAACTCTTACAACTCATTGAGAAAGACAAATTTGAAAATGGGCAAAGGATTTGAATAGACATTTATCCAATGAGGATATAAAAATGGCCAATAAGCACATGAAAATATTTTTAACATCATTAGTCAAAAGAGAAATGTAAATCAAAACTACAATGAGATACTATTTCACACCCATTGGATTAGCTAAAATAAAAAATAAAAATGGCAGACAAGAAGTGTTACTAGGATTTGGAGAAATTGGAACTCTCGTACATTGCTGGTGGGATTATAAAGTTGTGCATCCACTTTAGAAAACAATTTGGCAGTTCCTATAATGTTAAACAAAGAGTTATCATATGACCCAGCAATTTCACTTCTAGGCGTATACTCAAGAATTGAAAACACAAGTCAACACAAAAACTTGTACACAAATGTCCTTAGCAGCATTATGTATAATAGCCAAAAAGTAGAAACAACCCCAATGTTTACTAACTGATGAATAGATAAACAAAATGTGGTAGGTACTGTCCTTACAATGAATATTATTCAGCCATGAAAAGGAATCAAGTATTGGTACATGGATTAACCTTGAAAATATTATGCTGACAAGGAAATCAGATGCAAAAGTTCACATATTTATGATTCATATGATTCCATTTATATGAAATGACCAGAACAGGCAGATCTACAGAGACAGAAAATACATTAGTGATTGCCAGGAGTTGTGGGTGAAGAGGATGGAGAGTGACTGCTGATGAATATAGGTTTTTTTTTTTTGAAGTGATGAAAATGTTCTAAAATTAGATAGTGGTGAACTACCTACTGAAAACCACTGAATTGTACACTTTAAAATGGTAATTTTTTAATGATCTCATGTTTTATTATTTATGTTTATTATATATATTTCAATAATGCTTTTAGGAAAATTAAGTTCACCTATTTCTTTTTACTTATTTAATGTGGCTATTAGAAAATTTTGAATTATATATGTTGTAGCTCACATTATATTTCTATTGGACAGTGTTGTTCTAGACCTTACAAAGAAGACATGAATTTTTTTTTTAGTTTTATTTATTTATTAGGATTTTTAAATTAATTAATTTATTTTTGGCTGCATTGGGTCTTCGTTGCTACATGTGGGCTTTCTCTGGTTGTGGCGAGTGGGGGCTGCTCTTCCTTGTGGTGCGCGGGCTTCTCATTGCAGTGTCTTCTCTTGCTGTGGAGCATGGGCTCTAGGTGCATGGGCTTCAGTAATTGTGGCAGGTGGTCTCAGTAGTTGTGGCTCACGGGCTCTAGAGCACAGGCTCAGTAGTTGTGGCGCACAGGCCCAGTTGCTCTGCGGCATGTGGGATCTTCCCTGACCAGGGCTCGAACCCGTGTCCCCTGCATTGGCAGGCGGATTCTTAACCACTGCGCTACCAGGGAAGTCCCAAGACATGAAGATTTTTAATCATCAATTTCCTGAACCTATCTGAGGAATTTCACAACCGCTTTGTAACATAAATAGCAATAAAAACTTCTGTTAGGAGAAATAGTACTTGACATTTGCTTCATAAGCTGGAAAGTTTTTAATGCATACTATGTCATTTGATCTTCACACCCTCCCAGGAGGAAGGCAGGAAGAGGTTATTATTCCCATTTTACAGATGGAGACACTGAGTTTCCGGAATGGGAAAGTACTCATCTAGGGCTAGGGACCCTGGTAATGGACCCCTGGACCTCAGGCACTGGCCTTAGGTCTCTAGATCCTTTATACCATAAGCCCTCCATCTGCCCTCCACCCCTACCCCTATCCAAATTTGTCTGGCACAAGCAACAAGAATCATTCCAGTCTCCCTCAGGGCCTCCAAGCTGATCTGAAACACTTAAGAGAAGTATGTCAAGTCCAGCACCTCCATCCCATGGGTCACAGCTGTCACCACAAAATGGCAGGTTGACATTTTGCAGCTCTGATCTCCTTGACCAAGCTACTGCAGATTTGGTCCCACCCCTGAGATTCTGATGTAATCAGGTCAGGGTTGGGGCCTGGGTGTTGGGACTTTTGAGGACTTCCCTGATGATTCTAGTGTGCAGCCAGGGTTTGGAGCCGCCACCCCAAGCCAATGGTCACAAACAATCAGCTTGTGGGCCAAATCCGCATCTCAGACATGTCATGTTTGATTCCTATACGTGATGAATGCATGTTTAAATTGGATTAAGTTGTCAACATTTAAAAGCACAGAATTTTTACTTAAACCTGGATTTCTGGCTTCCCCTGAGGACTGAGGAACTCTGGCGACTGGGCCTGCATTCCTGTCTGGTGGCCAGTGGCTGGAGCTGAGCAGTGGCTGCCCCTTTACACAGGGCAGGAATTCTCCAGTTACCCACCGTCCATACCACTCCTTATTGTCTCACACTAGCCCACATCATTTATTTTCAATATCTATCCATCCCTACAGGGCTGCCCTGTAGGGCTTTCCCTTGCAGGCTGGGAAACTGAGGCCTATTGACAAATAAGTGTGGGAACTCAGACCTTCTTAGCTGTTGATTAAGCTATGCTAACTTCTCTTTCTTTCCCAGCCTGAGAACATACTGTGTGTCAATCAGATGGGACACCAAATTAAGATCATTGACTTCGGGCTGGCCAGAAGGTAAGGGAGTTTTATTTCGGTGGTTTGACAGAGCTCCTTGGAAACTCTTGGTGGCTCTCTTGGACATGGTTATCCACAACTCAGCCAATTTTTGAGTTTTGGGACTGATAATGAGAAAGCTCTCTCACTGAGGCTGGCGGCCTTCACAAAGACTGCATAGAGAGGCCTCGTTACTACTGCAGGGGGCGGCTTTGTGCTGCGGGCTCTGCTTCTCCTTAAAAGGCTGTGGGATTAACAGTATTTCAAACCACCTGTGTGAACAGAGAGGGGAGTGATAAAGGGGGTCACTGAATGGGGGTGCTGGGAAGCTCCTTCTATTCATTCTGCAGGCCTCCTGGGGCCAAGATGTACTGGGCTGTGTGATGCATTCATCATCAACCCTGCCCTCCAGAAAATGACTAGGTTAAATAGGATGGTGCCATGGGTAAGTGGTTCTGGGCACTCAGGACTGGGTTAGATCTGGTAAAATGGTGATAACAATGCAGTGCCTGCTGATATGGGCAATTATGAAGTTTAAATGAGATAATACATCAACAGTGGAGACCCATTCTATGAGGGTGATTAGGTTCTCAAGTTTCAGTACATAAAGTGAATATCATATATAATTTAAAAAACATCTTAAAGTCCCTTAAAACGCCTAAAGCCTAGTGACGTATAGTTTTACTGTTGGATCCTCATGCTTGATGAACACCGTGTCTCTGCAGGGCTCTTGCCCATGGCGTGCACACCCAGTGGTGTGGCTGTAGCAGACCCTTGGCATTGGGGAGGGCATCCACAGTCTGTGAAGATGGCAATAAATGTATGTTCATCCTCCAGGCTTCCTCCAGAATTCTATTTCCACCAAGAATGACATTTCTCTGAGAATCACATACTTTCTAGATATGTCTTCACACCACGGCTTCAAATCTTGAAATGTTCTTACTCTAATGGTCATTTTCCACACAGAAGTTGTTTTTGTCACTTTCTGAGCCTTGCAGCATCTACCACTCCATCCACAAGGCGAGAAAGGAGCACTTCATCCCCATGGTGGCAGAGCCGTGCCTGAGCTCAGCCTCTGGTGTCCAGCACTGGCCTCCCAGAGGGGGCGTCCAAACCCACAATGGTGGTCTTCCTAGGTCACTTCCCCACTGGTTGGAGAGGTAAATGTCACCTCTTTGCAGGTGTGAAAGGTACATTTTCAGGGCCCCACATGATGGATGGGAGGCTAAGTGTGTTATTGGAGTAACAGCAGAGGGAAGTTCTTATCACTGCGCTGTACCTTCAGGGTCCGCACTACACAGCGTACTGCATTTCATGAACAGTCCCAAATCCCCCAACCCAGATGCCTAAAAATCACACTCAATCCATAATGTAAAAAAATTGCTTAATATTTTCCCAAATAATGTTGTATAAAATTGGGATGCATTCTATACACTTGCACACCTTATGCACCAGGGTGTGTTTCTCAACCTATTTTTCATGTCTCCACCTGCCCCACAAAGAGCCTTTTTAACCATTTATTTCCTAATCCCTCGGTCCCTTCCTCATGAAATGTAATGCCACAGGTGTATTGTGTATCTGTTTATGTACTGTGGCACTTTGGAGTGCCGCAGACCATTGTAATAGCTAAGATTTTTTTGCCCTCCCCCCAAGAACCACTGTTCCCTCACTGTGGGGCAATATATTCTTCATCCAGACCTCACACACTAGTGTATGCAGGACCCTACCAAATGCCGGGTGACCAATTGCCAAATGAGGATTTACAGTGACACACTGTGAATTCAGAGCAAGAAGTAACCACCTGAGGTTCCTGGAGCCTGGGACGTCTCTGAGCAGCCAGAAGAGACGAATGGACAGGGTTTTGTTACCTGCAGGCAGTAGTGTGCTGGTAAATGTTTAACAACGCGCTGCGGCTGGGGCGTGAGAGGAGGTGGGGTTGATTTGTAACCTTTGCTAACTTTGGCTGATTTCAAGCTACCAACATGACGTCACTGAGTGCAGAGTTGGGAGGAGACGTGCACCATTGGCTCTCGTCCACCCGTGAGAACCGGCTCCAGCACGACTCTGTGTGGAGGGGGCCAGGAGGGATGGTGTCAGTTAGGGACCAAGAGTAGGATGCACACTGCGCATGAGCTGGCTGGGCTGGGGAAGGCAGGAGCTGTGGGTGGGACTGGGGAAGGAAGACACAGTAGCAGGTGAGGGCACTAATGGGGCATCCTGAGTAGGGAGGCTTAGATGTTGGAATGGTATCCAATAGGTCATTGAGTCTCAGATGGTGGGAGGTGAAAAGGGTTGTAGGCAAATCTACCGAAAATCGATTAGTCAAAATTTATTCCCAATACACACTACTATATATAAAATAGGTAACCAACAAGGGCCAACTGTATAGCACAGGGAACTATAGTCAATATTTTGTAATAACCTATAATGGAAAAGAATCTAAAAAGGAATATATATATATATAAAACTGAATCACTTTGATTTACACCTGAAACAAGCACAACATTGTAAATCTATATTTCAATAAAAATTAAAAAAAATCTATTCCAAACTGTCAGTCAAATTTGTTAATCTGGTTAAGGGCATTAATGGCAATAATTTTGCCAGTGGGACCAGAGGTAGAGGGCAAGTTCAAGAAAATAAACACAGGGAGCCATATTTTTAATTTTAATTTTAATTTTTTGGCCACACGGCATATGGGATCTTAGTTCCCTGACCAGGGATCGAACCTGCACCCCCTGCATTGGGAGCACAGAGTCTTACCTACTGGACCACTAGGGAACTCCCAGGGAGCCATATTTAAGAGAAAGCCACCCATGAAAAACTGCTGGGCACTGGAGAAGTGCAGGTGTCAGAAAACGTGGTACTCAGGAAATTGCACTTAGTGGAACTGGGCTGACAGGTTCACAGGTTCTGGCTGTGAGATGAAAGGAAAACATCAAAAGCATCCTTAATAGTCTGGCAAACTGGTCATTCAGCAAAAAGATTCTTTGGCAAATTGGTTTTTGACAAATTGGCCTGCTTCCTGGGAAGTGTGTCCTTCTAAAAGGAGGGATCTGTGGGGGGAATGTGCAGTTTGAGAGAGCATGCTTTATGCCCCGGGATAGTTAAATGTTTGTAAAGAGGGAGGAAATGACAATTTTTCCCCATAACATGAACTATAGAAAGTACAGTTGTATTTCTGGGTGGGGCTGTGAGGAGGCGCTGAGATTCTGAGTGCAGGTATGACCCCCAGTAGAGTGGGGCCATACGAATCTTCAGAGACTCTGACATCTAGCAAGAGGGACCGGTGTTTTTTTTTTTTGTGGTACATGGGCCTCTCACTGTTGCGGCCTTTCCCATTGTGGAGCACAGGCTCCAGACTTGCAGGCTCAGCGGCCATGGCTCACGGGCCCAGCCGCTCCGCGGCATGCGGGATCCTCCTGGACCAGGGCACGAACCCACGCCCCCTGCATCGGCAGGCGGACTCCCAACCACTGCACCACCAGGGTAGCCCAAGAGGGACCAGTTTTACACCAGGCTGGGTGGTGAGAGTCATCAGTGGGTGTAAGTAGGGACATGTCAAGGGGTCGAGAATGGAGACAGAATGGGAAGTATCTTGTTTAATTATCTTGTTCTCCAGAATGTTGGGTGCAGGGATGAGCCTCCTGACTCCCAGTCCAGTGCTCAGATTGGAATCTAAGCCCATTTCATCAGATCCTTTGGCAGGGCGAGGAGTTGCCTATCTCAAACCTTATGAGGCTGCAACCTCATATGTGACCTAATGATCTCAGAGGGCCTCGTGCTGGGAATCTGGAGAGGGGGGTCTTAGTGGATATTTTGACACAGCTTTGGAGTGGATGGATCAGTTAACTATTGCTACAGTACTGTTGTATAACAAATCACCCCCAAATGCAGTGACTTAAAACACCAATTGTTTATTTTCCTCCACACATTTTCGAGTCAGCTGGGGAATTAGTATGCTGGACCCAACTTATACTAGCTCATGATAAGGAATCTTGTAAGCCAGTTGTTAAACATGGCCATTATTAAAAATTAAATTGTATAAGCTTACAATTAAAGAAATTATTTAAAAACAAAGATGTTACATTTTAAAAAGTTAACACTTCCTAATTATTTCACTACATTTCACAGTTATTTATGTTCATGAGTTTATTTACGCCAATTGTTGTCTGTATGGTGGAAAGACTACAGAATAGTGTGCTATTGCCGATGTCTTCCCAACTCTTCATTCAGTGACATGGTGATGGTACTTTTAAATCAGACATGGTGAAATCAGTATTTACACAATTGGCAAATGCTACAAATCAAAACTTAAAAGAAAATCAGATAGCTGGTTGTTAAACTTTTACCCACAGACCACTGGTTGGGAGTCACTGATCTAGGCTGAGTTGAACTGGGCTTGGATGCAGGTCAGTGAGGACAGGTCTGTTCCAGCTGTGTCTCATTCTCTTCTCATGGTGATGGCCAAGGAGCAAGAGGGCGCGCTCCTACAGCCTAGCTTGGAATTGGCCCACCGTCATGTCCACCCACATTCCGCTGGCCAAAGCAGCTCATGTGACCAAGCTCACCATCAAGGGGATGGGGCAATATATGCCATCTCTAGTGGAAGGAACTACAAAGTCACATGATACAGGATGTGGCTGTGGGGCAGATGAAGCAGTGGAAACAGGAATGCATCCTGGGAAAGGGACATCCAGGGGCTGAGAGCCTGGACCTTCTCTCCTTAAGGGGAAACCTGTTCCTCTCAGTTTGGCTCCTTGGCCCCGAGGCTCCAGTCAGGTGCCAGTGCAGGGGAGGAACAGGCTGCCAGAGGAAGGCTCTAGCTCTCCTCCCCTCCCTGGCTTCCCGCCACAACTCAGCCACCAAGGTGATCTTTGTTGCTCTTTCACTGGATGAGTATGGTCTGTGTGGGCTCAGGGTCTGCATTTGCCTGACTCTCAGCAAATTTGGAAAAGAAGAGACTGTATTTTGAAAGCTCACATCCCTGATTTCAGGGAATCAGGCACATTGCCAGGATA